AGCCTTGCTGGCTGGGGAATTCTGGGAGTTCAAGTCCACACATCTTCAAGTCGCCAAGGTCGAGTAACACTGGACTAGAGGATTCTTGTGGTCCCACCCCTTCTACAAGGGTGGGACCCTAGCCTGAGAGCTTTTCCCCTTCGGTCATTTTGTCTTATTTTTTGCAGGCTGCCATCATTAACCGTATTCAGTGCCGGATCGTGGCTTTGGATCTGAGAGGACATGGTAAGCCATTCAAAGCCCGTTCTCTTCTGAGTCGAGCCTGGTTGCTAATGATTTCAGAGGGAAGCCCGTGAAGTTTCCTTGGTAGGAATATGGAAGTGGTTGAGTGTTATCCAGATCCAATCCTACTTACTTTTTGAGGTCAGCCAAGACTGGCGGGGTGCCGCCCCAGACTCTAGAGTCTTCATGTGCCCATCCAGATAGTTTTCTTAGCAACTAGGGACTTGTCCTTTTTTCCTTTGGGGGTGCTTTTGACTTCCTAGTCCAGCTGACAGCGGTGGGACAGGAAGTAGTTGTCTTAGAAATAATACCTGGTTTATTATTTTTAACATCATCATCCTTACAGGAGACTAAATTCTCCCCAACTGTTTAAGTATCAACAGCAGTTCTTACTGAAGGATTCAGTGCAGTCCTTCCACATAATTTGGCCCCCACCAAACATAACTCAGCAATCTGAGTTGCAAATGTTTGGGTCTGCCATTCATTGAACAGCGTTTTGCTGGGCCCACGCAATTCAATAAACACATTGATGCTGAAATTGCCAAAAAGTGGTGTGGGGGGGAACAGCACTAAAGGCCAGTCATAAGAATGCCTCAATTGGACAGATGCCCTTTGGAAAAGCATCAGTGGGGAATAACATGCTCTCTACAGCAGTTCTCCCCAGCTTTGGCCCCTGTAAACATGGAACACTACACAGTTTTCTACCACTGTTGAGTTCAAGAATGGCTTCTTGAAGAGGGAATGCACCACCACCTCCTTCGAGGCAGGCAGAACCACCCCCTCACTCAAGGATACGTTAACCACCACATGGTTCCAACCACATGTCACCTCCCAGGCAGCCTTAACTAGCCAGGATCATGGATCTAAAGGACAGGTAGCCAGGCTGGTAGTCACGGGGATCCCATCTACTTCCTCTAGAGTGGTGTTTCTCAACCTTGGCAATTTTAAGATGTGTGGACTTCAATTCCCAGAATTTCCTAGCAAGCATACTGGCTGGGGAATTCTGGAGTTGAAGTCCACACACCTTAAAGTTGCCAAGGTTGAGAAACACTGCTCTAGAGTTACAGGGTCAAACGCTTCCCAGGTAATTGTAGAACGTGAGTGCCGTATTCATGCAAGTACTTGCGCTCCAGTCAGAGTGGAGCAAAGTGACTTTATCCACAGATGCCTAGAATATTCCTCATCATGGTTGTTTCCTTGGGATGGAGAGACGTGGCATCACTGATACTTTGCCTTGCCCTTTATTTGATGTAATTCAGATGTCATCCAGTATTGGTTGATCAAGATCTGCACGGGGAGCGCTATTCTTAATTCAGGCTAACGCTTGTTTCATTTGACCTGATTTTGTTGCAGGTGAGACCAAAGTGCGGAATCCCGAAGACCTCTCTGCAGAAACCATGTCCAAGTATGTTGCTCCATAATTTGCGGGGATGTGGGGGAGTGTTTTAACCTTTTAAACCATGAAACTAAGAGGAAGCCAGCAGAGGGCTGGGAGATTACGCTTCTGGTGGCAAAGATCTGGGATCCTGCATTCTGAACTAACTGACGCTTTCAAGTGACCTTCAAAGGTACCCCCACGTAGAGTGCTTTGCAGTGGTCTAGATCAGTGTTCCTCAGCCTTGGCAACTTGAAGATGTGTGGA